CGTATTTTGAAAAACATTTTACCCAAAATTCAGTGTTAAATTAGATTCAAGAATATGCAGAGAGCTTCCAAAGTCCATATAGATAAAGTTGCTAGGGGAGAACCAAAAAGGCGTCTGCACGTGTTCCTCAGGGAGGAGCTTCATAGGGGTCAGGGAACCTGCCCAGACCGGCTGCTGTCTTCCCACCCCGTCCTTCCTCTTCCCCACACAGCTTGCCCATCTCCTACCCAGCTGCACGCCCTCTTCCTGTCCTTCCCCAGTGTCCCGACCTTGACCTTCAGACTCTACAGTTCACTTCCCCTAACACTTGTCCACACAGCACAACAGCACGATCCCGCGCTCTGCACAGTCCCGTGCAGCCGGAGCCTCCCGCTCAGTGCCGAGCGCAGAAGCAGCTGCAGCAGGAAACGCCACAGGCGGCCGCACCGGGAACCCCGTCTCCGAGACCGCACAGGACGCCGACCGGCTGCCGCCCGCCCGGGGAGGACCCAGCACAGCCCGCTCTGGCGGCTCCAGCGGCCGCAGCTCCCGTCTGCACACGGCCGGCCCCGCGCTCACCATATCCCGCCTTCCGGCTTCGTCCGCGCTCTCCTCGGCTCCCCGCAGAGCTCTCACGGTGCAGCACTCCCGGTGCATCCTTCTGCCATGGAGCTGAAGGAGCAGCTCAGAACTCGCAGCATGGCGACTGGATAGAGCCCGCCTTGGGCAACCAGTATTTGACCCTGGTTGGGCAGCATGGCTGGAAGTGGTTAGGGCCGCTTCTGAGACCTAAGTGGCAGGAGGAGCTATAATGAGCACACCTCTTCCTAGCCTGTCCCAGAACAGAAGCCACCCAACTCCAGGGACATTGGCATTCAAGCAGAACTTGCTTGACCTGTCACAGCAGGTATTGATGTCTTGAGAAACTCACTAGGGTCTTTGCAAAAGCATAACTCTCACCTCAAAGGGGATAAGAGATAGTTTATTCTGGAGCCAAACAAGAGTGACCATGACCTGGAAACACAGATTCAGGTTTTCCCAAATTCCATGTTCCACTGTGGCAATGGTTACATTACGTTTTTATAGTACCAGGACAAAGAAAAGCCATAGATCAAGACATTTGTCAAATACATTGGTGGGTATATTCAATAGGCTAGTCCTAGCAAAGGGGGGGCAGGGTGTTCCATAGGTCTTAGGTGCTATCCGATAACATTCTTAGACTTTTGATTGGGGAGAGATGGTGGTCTACTGAGTTATTACATTTTAATAGTCACAAGAATGTTAATCAGAAACAGAGGTAAGCAAGGTGTAGCTATTTATGGAGTTAAAGATGTCCCCAGATCATTTGTGAATAGGCTGTGGATCTGCAATCTTCCAAACTCTCCAGTCATTGTGTATATCAGTCAGGCTTGCAGGAAATTCAGCTCAGGATGTAGGAATTCTCTCTAGGAACTATCTTTCACAGTTCCCCCCTGTTGGCCAAGCATCACATTTTGTGCATGCTTATTTATTCCCAGGTCATCATTAGGAAGGCGCATTCCTAGATTCTGATGTAGATGAGGCTCAGTTGTGGGCAAGATAGACATCTTCAGAGAGAAGAATGGCTACCTGGTAGAACCAATAGGAAAGAAATTCCTGGATCATATCAAAAGTATTAGCTAGCATGATCCATATCCTACTTTTTTTTTCGTCCTCTGTATCTGATATAACATTTGTGTGTGACATATAATAGGATGATTATACATAAAATAATCTAGAGCGTTGCTTGGCCTAATGGGGTAAATGTAACAGATTAAGGCAACAAACATTAAAATACAAATGAAAAAACAAAAACAAAAACAAATAAGATTGACTAAGTTTCCCCCTGTATTTATAGTTGTCTGTACTCTATGAAGTATTTTATTTATATTTGGAATATTTAAACAAAGCTATTGTTTCCTGATGTTTGGTTTTTTCTTTGGATCAGTTATACCTTATAGCGATAACCTCATGGAGTGGCTAGCTCTAACTCTAGTAGTTCTCATCTGTGGATAATGACTTCATCTGTTTTATTATATTGGCATCATACCAGATTTAGTTTGAAAAATAAATGAAACATATTATAGAAGAAATTACACAGTAATACATTATTCTTTAAACTTTCTTCTAACAAGAATGTCTTTGTTTACATAACAAATGTTAATCACATTGATAGAAACTAGAGATCAAGCCTGTTAGGAAACTGGAGTTTTATAGGCCTTAAAGGCTTAACCAACTACCTTTTTTAAATAAAAATTAATGATTAGAAATGAAAATAGGACTCTAGAAGGAGTCATTGTAGTGTTGTCCATTTCCTTACTAAAATATAGATATTGCTTAATTATTTTTATCCTGGCTAATTGTAGGATATAGGACGACTTAGATACTCATTTAATCAAGGAATATCAGTAATTAAACTATAAAATATCATGAATACGTTGTAATTAGAATGGTGTCTTATATAATTTGGATAAGAAGAATCAACCCAAATCTTTGGTTATTTCTATCTACAGAAAATAAAGTTGTAGTTACTTGTTAACCATTGGAGTACATTTTAGGGCCCTTTTAGACTAATTGGGTGGATTTGGTTAACACACACACACACACACACACACACACACACACACACAAATATATAATATGTATATACACAAATTTGAATTTGAAAGCTTGGACTTTTATCCAAATTATACTGAATAATTAGGAAAATACATATATATTGTTACAGAGTGAAAATACTTAATCTTTTAAACATGAAAACTATGTAAATTCAGGGTTCTGGGTAAGCATTTATAACTTAATTTAACCCAAAATTTGCATTATTTTATCACTTAGGAATATACTAAGTGAAATACTAGATGTTAGAAACTATTTAAAATAGTTTAATTAAAAAAAGATTTAAGGAACAAAACAATGAGCTAAATGTTCAGTTACTTGGGGGTACTTGATTGTCAATTAATTGAAGATGAGTCTTATCCAGGGTCTCCAAGTCCACATGGATGAACTCTTAGATAAAGTTGGCACATGAGACTCTTAACGTTCATCGCTTGAATTTTGTAGTACAGGAGCAGGTTAGCAGTACCTGGGTGCAGTATTTACTCTCCAGTTAAATGGAGTGTTTGATGTGATGCTTCATTTTTCAGTTGATGAAATCCTCTCATTTACTTTATTCTTCAAGGAAGATTCTGCAACTAATTCTGAATTTTTAATAATCATATTTAAAAGTCCTTGTTTTTCTAAGCAAAGTA